TCTAAAAAAAAAAAAAAGCTATCTATCTGAAAGGATGATATTTTTGAAACTACTTTGGAGATTGGAAAGACTTATCATGGTGGCCAGAGATGGTAGCAAGGTATGAATTTTTATGAGAAGTAGATGTAATAGTTAGAAGGTATCTGTCTCTCATATGGACAAAGGTAAAGTTTATAGCTAATACTTGATTTTTCATTTCCTGATTAAGTAGAATATATTTTTAATGAAGTTCTTTGATTTTGCCCTGAAGTATATAAATATAATTAATATATAAGTTTATTATATATAAATGTAATTTATTCATATTTAATATAATAAATATACATTTATTATAAATAAACATAAAATTATATAATCATACATAAGAATTATATATAAGCTAAATTAGCTTTATGTGTCCCTTTATTCATACATATTATATTGGGTATGTAACAGTATGTTATACAATATAATACATAGTATATACACTGTAATATAGTGTTATATGTAATACGTTGTAACAATGGTACATTATATATATTAAGTAGTATATACAATTGAAACCAGCTATTTGTATATATTATCTATCACTACATATATATCACTTGGAATAGCTTTAAGATTCTAAAATGAAGGGTCACTTTATCTCTTTAAGAGGAAGTGATGTATTTTTATTATATGTGAGGGGTTGAAGGATGTTTCTTAGTAGAGAAACTACAGATTACTACAGAAACTCAGTAGGGAACTACAGATTGAGGGTTGCCACTTCTGGTAACCCCTCCATGCTGCCAGTAACTGCATATTACTAAGGATCTTCTTTTTTTTTTTTTAATTTGACCATTGAGGGATTAGATTCAGTCTTACTAGAGTTTTTCCTAAGCTGTATCTCAACTTTGCAGATGAGTTTTAGCAAATATTCTTGGTGATTACTGTCATTTAGAAAAGGTACAGCAGGCCCTGGCGTCTTCAGATAGAAAGCCCCTTGATACCCTGCTTTTTTGCTTAACACTGTCTTTCATAGAGAAAGTAATCATGGGTTTTTCTTTTAAAGAACATGGTTTACAAGCTGTAGTCTTTCTCTTTGCCATCTCCTCCATTCTGGTTTGGGCTCTGAGATACGAGTATCTATCTGCTCAGGCATAGACTGTTTTGTTCACATACCACAGGGCCTTAAGTAGGGCCTGGGGTAGTGAACACTGGCTGAATGAATAACTCATTAATACATAGTAGCTCACCATCTTATTGAAAGGCAGACAGGGAAATATGGAAGGGCTCATTCTTATATCATTGGAGTGCTGTATTAAAGGGTTATGAGGTATAGTGGGCACAATGAAGGATAGCTTTGGTGGGAATGGAATGGGGGACTAGTGAGGTCAGTGAGAGCTTTCGGATGTATGAAAAGATGGATCTTGAAAGTTGGCTCCTAAGGCCTTGGGAGAGCAGGCAATGATGGCAAAGAAAGGGCAACAAAGTGAGGTGTCGGAGTAGAACAGGTGTGAAGTGTTCAGGGACAAACTGGAGGTTGAGGTTGGGGAGAGAGGCCGTCACCAAATGATGAACAGAATTTGGAGCTGGTCATGGTGGTGCATGCTTGTGATCCCGGCTACTTAGGAGGCCGAGGCAGGAGTTCCAGACCTGTCTGGGCAACTCAGCAAGGTGCTGAGTTGTAAAGTGAAAGGGCTGAGGATGAGGATGTAGGTCGGTGATAGAGAATTTGGTTTGATCCCAAGGACTGCCAAAACTAAACCAAACCAAAGCAAGACAAAAACCTCAAAACAACAACAACAACAGCAACAGCAGCAGCAAACCCTGAAGAATTTGGACTTTCTTGTCAGCAGAAGGTAGGTATTGAAGAGTGCAACAGGGAGTTGTCATTATCACATTTGCATTTTGGGAGATTATTGATGGTGCCACAAATTAGGGCAGGAGAAGAGATGGTGAGTTGTTTAAACATTTAGGGGTTGAAGAGTCTGGGCTAGGAAAGTGAAGGAGAATGAAATTGAGTGAAGTCCTGGGGGCTGATTTAGAAGCTGGATAGAGGTGGTGTCACTAATGAGGTAGGCAACCTGTGGGGAAAGAGTCTATTTGTCAAACATAAGTTCAGTTTGGACGCGTTGGTTGTGAGGTGCCTCTGGTACGTCCAAGGGAAGGTGTCGGTTAATTCCACACGTAGGCCTGGCTTTTGGGATACTGGTCTTGACCTGGAGATAATGGTTAAGAATTCATTAATTTGTCCTAAGCAGTTAAAAATCAAGGGATTGGGTGAGAGCACCAAGAGCTGTGGAGTGAAAGAGAATAAAGACAAAGAATAAAATGTGGCCTTGCGCACTTAAAGGTATGTAGCTGAGGGGAAGACCAGGAAAGAAAGAAGACCCCCCGCCCGAGTCCTTGGAGAACCAGCAGAGTGGGATGTCAGGAAAACCAAGGTAGGGTTTCCAGAAGAGGGCAGTGACCCAAGGTGCAGCTGCTAAAGGGAAGCTTAGGAATACGGTGCTTTGTAAATGTAAAATATAGTTGTTTACGTAAATACAACTACAACAGATTACTTACTTGGCCTCTAGTAATGTTTACCAAATTACTTTGCCATTTGTATTGAAGGCAAAGCTAAAGAGTGTTGAGAAAGTGGCTATTGCAAGAAGGTCCTTAGTATAGGAGAGGATCACCAGACTTGACCGGGAACCTGGGTTCTTTCCTGATGTCCTCCCTTTCTTTATTTCCACATCTAGTCAGACCCATTGTGGTACTGAAGAGGGATGGTGGACTGTGACCTTGACTCAGACTTCCTGAGTTTGAGTCTTGGCTCCACTACTGATAAAACGTGTGATCCAGGGTGAGGTATTTCATTTGACTGTGCTTCAGTTTTCTCACCTATAAAATTGAGATGATAGAAGCATCTCTGTCATGGCATGTTAAGGATTAAGTGAGTGAAGTACTTAGCTAAGTGACATGCCTGACTCAACAACAAGCACTCAGCGAGTGTTAGCTCTTTGGACTCCCAGACATCTTTTGAATATGCTCTTCCTGGATTACTATAATACCCCTAACAGCTTCATTGTAGAATAATTTACTGCCATGAAATTCACTTGTTTCAGTGTACAGTTCAACAGCTTTTAGTAAATTTACTGTGTTGTGTAATCATTACTACAGCCCGGTTTTAGAACATCTTTGTCACCCCAGTAAGATCTTGTGAGTTAATCCCTGTTCCACCCTGGCCCTAGGCAACTACTTAGGGATTCTGTACCCACAGAGTCGCCTTTTCTGGGCATTTCATATATATAGAATCTTACAATATGTGACCTTTTAGCTGAACGATTTTTAGGTCCATCTGTATTGTAGCTTGTATCAGAACTTCATCCCTCTTTGTTGCTGAACTGTATTCTATTGTATAGATCTATGATGTTTTGTTTATCCATTCACCAGAAAGTCAACATTTGTCAGTTTCCACTCTTGCTGTTATGAATCATGCGGCTCTGAACATTCCTGCGCAAGTTTTTTTGTGGACATATGCTTAATAGCTTCTTAATTGGTCCTCAGCCTCCTTCAGGGGTCCTTCTGTTCTCATCCCTCTCCAGGCTGTTCTCTACACTGTAGCCAGAGTCATCTTCCTGAAATGTGCTTCTGATCATGTCATTACTCTGTTTCAAGTCCTTTAGTAGTGCCTGGTTGCTTCTGGATGTAGTTCAAACTCATTAAGCTCAAAGGTTTTAATAGTCTAAAATCTCCCATCTCCCCTCTACCGCTTCTTTTCACTGTGTCCCCTCTTTAGTTTCCTGCTTTAGCCATTCTTTTATTCATCCATTCTTGTCATTTCATTTATTTATTTAAGCATTCTTTGTAGGCTTATTGATTCTGGGGTATAGTGATGGGACAGCTAAGTCCTTTTTTACATGGAGCTTTCTCTTTAATGTGAAAGGCAGACAGAGGACAAGAAAGCATCAGGTGGTGGTAAGCACTAGCAAGAAAATAAAAAGGAATGATGCAGAAGTAATTGAGGGGCCGGTGACTCAGCTCTCCAGGCCTGAGAGTTCCTCAGAATCTCAGCGCTAATGACTTCCTACTTAACACCCCTATTTGGATACCTGCTGGCAAACCTTGTTTCTCATGTGTACTTAATGAGGTTCCCTCATCCTGGATGGTTCTCTTCCCTCTGTCCATCTTTCCCTTGCAAGTCTTTTTATTTTTTCTCCTTTAAAAATTAGCACATATAAGTTGTCCATATCAATGGGTTTCTGTGTGATATTTTCGTACATGCAACAGAGTGCTTGGGTCATATCCAATCACCCATCTTCCACTCTGCATCCCCAAACACATGACCTTCCCAGTCCCTGGTAATCACTATTCTATTTTCAGGTGAAAATTTTCTTTTAATCCTCTGCTCCAGACCCCACCCCCACAGCTTAGCTGGAGCGCTCCCTTTATGCTTTTTGCCTTACAGGTTGGAGCACACAAGTGGTACCTGTCACGTTACATTTAAATGCCTGACAGTTTTCTGTTTATTCCACTTCACTTTAAGCAACTTGATGACTTTGAATTGTCCAAGTCTAGCTTAGTTCCCAGCACATAGTTAATGCATAAGAAAATCTGTTGAAAGAGCAAGTGTGTCGGGTTAGCCTTAAACAAAGGAGGGAGGGAGGAACCTGTTTTCTTTGGGACTCTTGGAAAGAAAGGAGCTAAGGACTGTTAATGCCTAAATAATTTTGTAGGTTGAGGGAGAAAAGTTGAAGGAGTTCTGATGGCTTATAGAATTTTCTCCAGGATTACAATTTAGTGCACAGCATAAAACAAAGAATTATTTATAATGAGCAATTAGCAGTGCATTAGAAGAAAAAAAGGAGTAGTGCTATGGGGGGCATCTTGAAATTTTAAAACTATTCTTATTTGCTTCTAGTTTTATAGCTATTAGACTACTTTCTTTAGGCGGTTCTTTGTACATATTGATATGGGTGATTAAATGACTTAGATGTTACTGCACTGTTTCTTGTTCTTTTGTCATTGATTTTATTTTGATGTTGCTTTTTCAGCTTTCGGAAAATGTGATCGATCGAATGAAGGAATCCTCTCCATCTGGTTCGAAGTCTCAGCGGTATTCTGGTATTTATGGTGCCTCAGGTATTACGGCATTTTAATTTTAGGAGTTTTAATTGAAAAATTATAAGTGGAGAAAGTTCACTGTAGTCAAATTCAACTACCTTCTGTGTTTCATTATTTGGACATTCAACTTTTCCTAGGGAATGTTAGAAATCAGTGTCAAGTTTTCTTTAAAATGTTTGACATGAGGAATGAGCCTACTTTCAAAACAGCCTTTGGAAAATTTTTTTCTCATCCAACTCCTGAACCCTCTACTATGCTTTGAAAGATTACTTCATATGTTTTTTTGTGTAAAATGGATTGATAATGGAGATATTGGAGATTAGGAGGAAATATAAAAAAAAAACATTGAACTTGGGGATGGAGATATAGCTCAGTTGGTAGAGTGCTTGCCTTGCATGTACAAGGCCCTGGGTTCAATCACTAGCACCACAAAAAATCAAAACCAAAACAAAAAACAAAACCACATTGAACTTAGAAAATATCATCAGCTTTTCAAATTATTAAATTTCTAAAATGATTTTGTTCCTTATAAATTTCTTTCAAATTTATAAAAGATTTATTTTATCATATCAGTTCTAGTTATTAATGAAATTATTGTGTTAAACAAGATAGAGAATTATTATGCCTCATTTTATCTATAGGTCTTGCTGGATAAGAAAGAGATAAGAGACCTAATACTAGTTCCTTTCTCTTTGCACTCTCCTTCCACACCTGTGTGTTCATCCAACAAATGCTTGCTGAGTGCCTGCAATGTGGCCAGCACTGGTTTTGTTTTTATTTCTTTCCTTTCCTTCCTTCCCTTCCTCCCTCCCTCCCTCCCTCTCTTTCCTGGGGATTAAAAACAGGGCCTTGCACATGGTAGGCAAGTGTTCTACCACTGAGCCCCAGCACTGTTCTTGATACTGCCCAATTGATGGATGAACATTTATAATTATTTTTCCGTTGCCATTTTGTTTTTGTAAAATGACAACAGAAAGGTAATTGGAATGGTTAATTTTGGACTAAGTGAAAATTTTTTATATTTATTTGAAAGGGGTAAATTTAGCCAAAGACTGAAATGTGCCATTTACTTGGGGCAGTTGTGAGCCCCCTTGCTGATCATTATTTGGTGGACATAGTTGAACTTCTGGTATGGGTACTAGGATTAACAAGAAACAGTTCTTGCCCTTTCAAAGCTTCCTGTTTGGTAGGAGAATTTAGAAGCTTCATGACCAATTAACACTTGATAGAAAGTGAGCACACTCCAGCTTCATAGATCCTCCAAGTCCCTTTTATTCTTTTTTTAAAAAAAAAAAATTTTTTTTTTTTTTTTAGTTGTAGATGGACACAATACCTTTGTTTTGTTTATTTATTTTTATGTGGTGCTGAGGATCAAACCCATGCCTCATATGTGCAAGGCAAGTGCTCTACCACTGAGCCACAACCCAGCCTCCCATGGGAAGTTTTTTTTTTTTAACTTTTTTTTTTGTAGTTGTAGATGGACAGAATGTCTTTATTTTACCCAGCCTCCCTTTTATTCTTAAAGACTTGCTTCTCCTCTCCATCTTTCCCCACAGGTGGTCAAACCCCAAACTGGAGATTTCATTCTCATTTCCTTTTCTCCTTACTTCTACATCAGTTCGGTAGCTAGTCTTGTCTTGTTCAGCTCTGAAATATGTTTGAATTATCCTTCTGGGTCCATGTCTCCTGCTATAGCTATAATCCAGATAAACCATCACTCTTACCAAACCTACTACAGAAACCTCCTATCTGGCCCCCATGCAATTTTATAAAAAAAGTAAGTCAGGTTGTGGCTCAGTGGTAGAGTGCTCACCTGGCACGTGTGGGGCACTGGGTTTGATCCTCAGCAACACATAAATTTAAATAAATGAAATAAAGGTGTTGTGAGGTGTTGTGTCTATCTACAACTAAAAAAAAAAAAAAAACACACACACACACAACAAAACAGTAAGTCAGTTCATGTCATGTCCCAGAGGTACAAAGATTGCAGTTAGAACTGCTTCTCTTGGCTCCCGAGGAACATCATGATGGCCCATCTGCCTGTCCAGCATCATCTTGTCATTCATCATCACCTACCACCCTTCTTTTACTTACCTGCTCTCACTGTTCTCTTCAGAAGATAAGCTTTTGGGCCTTTGTCCTTATCTGTCCACAACTGAATTCCCAGCTCCTAGAATAGTTCCTGCTTCTTAGTAAGTGCTCATTACTGTTTGTTGAATTAATTTAGGACAAATACCATTATTCATTTTAAAGATAACGACTTTTGCCAGGCGTGGTGGTGCAAGGCTATGACAGGAAGAGTGCAAGTTCAAAGCCAGCCTCAGAAACTTAGCGAGGCCCCAAGCAACCTTATGAGACCTCAAAATAAAAAATAAAAAATGGGCTGGGAATGTAGCTCAGTGGTTTAACCCCTCTGGGTTCAATCTCTGGTACTACAAACAAAAAGTAACTACTTTTGATCATTCTGGAATACAATTCTATAAATTTAATTTTAGTGACATTTATTAAATGTTTACTTTGCAAATAATTAGGTTTTTGAGCTAATTTGAGAGGATAAAATATCAAAAAGACCTGTCCTTTCAGGGTTTGGAGAATTTGTGCAGATACAACTAAATTTATAATAAGACTAGAAGCAAAGTAAAAAACTTACTATGGAAGAAGCCTAGATGATAATGAGATTACATATGTTAAGTGTTTTGGTTTAAGAATAATTTTTGATATGAATATTTTTAAAATTGGAATTTGTTCTAAAATAATTTGTTCTAGGTAGGTTTTTTTCCCCCTACTCTCTGTATTAATAAGCTAGGATGGTGGTGATGATAATGAAAGAGTGATAAACAACACTTAAAATTGTAATGTGGTAGGTGTTCTGCTAAATCCTTTTATACCTCATATTTTTTCCTTACAATCCTTTGAGAGGGGAGCTATTATTAACCTATTTCATGTAGTAGGAAACTGAGATTCAAAGTGATTATTTTTCCTAGAATCATGCAGCTGGTGAGTAACAGAGTTGAGAGTGGGCTCATGTCCATGTGACTAGAGCAAATGTGATCAACCACTTTTTATTATAATCTGAATACCACCTTGCTTCATTTGTAGAAAGAGTGTGACAGAAACTAGTCAGAAGGTAATGACATTCAGCTTGAGCTCAGGAAAGAACTGTCTATAAGTGCTTGTTGGTTTTTATAGGTTTTTTCCATATTGACTCTCATTCGGTAGAGAGGCAAATGAGAGAAAATGCTTTCCTTGTTGGGTTAGTTTCTTAAGATACTTTGAGAGAGTAGACGTGGGTTTGCAGACTTCTGTGAATGCTCATGTGTGTGTGGCTTCAGAGCAGGACACTGATGGCATGATAACCTCTAGCTTTGGCTAGGGATCCATCCCTTTCCATTTCTGGTTTGACATCATGAATGAGCTCTTTGGTCCATGCCCAGTTGTGACCAGGTGGGCACTGAAAATTTTTAGAATGCCACCTTGTGTTTTGGTGGTCAGATTAGAACTATACTTTCTAACTGGTAGCTGCTAGTCACATGCAACTGTTACATAAAGATAATTAAAATGAACTAAAATAGAACTATTAGTTTCTCTGTTGCACTGCATACATTTCATGCTCCGTAGCTGCGTGTGGCTAGAGACGAGACTACCATGTTGGACGGCACAGATAGAGAACACTACTGTCATTGCAGGAAGCTCTGCCGCACCGCTCTAGACTAGAATACTCCAGTGCTTGGCATTGTGAGTTTTATCAGATGGTTTCAGTGATGTGGTGATAGAGGTTGTGGAGGGTAGATAGCTCTGTGTGTTTCTGTGTTTGTGAATCTTATTCCCGCCCCTTCCACATCCCAGGACCATCAATTATGGAAACTTCTAGGAGCATTCCCCTAAGGTGTACTCCCTTGACATCTGTTTTTGGCATAGCTTTCCATCCTGTGTGTTATGAGTGTGCTGCTGCAGGTGCTGCCTCCTTAGCCTTGGAGTAGTTGGATCACTTGTGCACCATGCAAAGACTTCTTTCCTGTCTACACCATGATATGAGAAGGGCTTGACAGGGCTAATAGTCAGGTTCTTTGAGTATGTATGTGATTTCTTTAGGTTATTATTGAGATATGATTTGTGTTCTGGGTCCTTTTGGTTTATTTCTGGTTTTTAATCTGAATTAGTTTCTCCTTTGATTGACTGCTCTTTTAAAAAAAATTTATTTTTTATTCCAATTTGTTGTATATGACATTAGAGTGCATTACAATTCATAATATACATATAAAGCACAATTTTTCATGTCTCTGGTTGTATACAAATTATATCCATACCATTCATGTCTTCATACATGTACTTAGGGTAATGATGTCCATCTCATTCCACCATCTTTTCTACCCCCATCTCCCACCCTTCCCCTCCCATCCCTTTGCCCTATCCAGAGTTCATCTAATCCTCCCATGCTTCCCCTCCCAACCCCACTATGAATCAGCCTCCTTATATCAGAGAAAACATTCAGCATTTGTTTTTTTTGGATTGGCTAACTAACTTCATTTAGCATTATCTTCTCTAACTCCATCCATTTACCTGCAAATGCCATCATTTTATTCTCTTTTATTGCTGAGTAATATTCCATTGTGTATATATACCACAGTTTCTTTATCCATTCATCCACTGAAGGGCATTTAGGTTGGTTCCACAGTTTAGCTATTGTGAATTGTGCTGCTATAAACAAGTGTTCTTTTAGTGTAGTTCCTCCCGTCACTGGTTTTCACTTTTTTTTTTTCCCCCATTTCATCTTCATGGAGTATTTTGTTGAGAAATTTCTGAAGTGCAGGCTTTCTTGTTGCAAATTCTTTTGACTTTTGTTTATCATGAAAGGTTTTTATTTCCTCTTCAAATCTGAGGCTTAATTTTGCTGGATATAGGCTCTGGCTTCTTAGCCTTGGAGTAGATGGACCACTTGTGCTCCCCATGTACCATGCATGCAAAGACTTCTTTCCTGTCTACCATAATATGAGAAGGGCTTGGTAAGGCTAATAGGA